TTTTTTTTTCAAATCAAATTCAAATTATTTTTGTGGGGAAGTAAATTATCAATTCTAAAAGATTGCCAACCATGCTTATGCACTTTGTGACTATTTATTTTCTGCGTACTTTGACTTGTGTTTGTGTGCAAATTCCAGGTGCATGCTTTAATCTACCCGTTCACATATTAAATTTATGCAATTCATTTTTTCCTCTCAATTGCCTATCTTTACTTGATTTTTTCAGGTAACTGGAGAGAATATTGCCAAACTCTTTTTGGCTGAGGCGATTGCTGATGACAAAGGTACTACAAAGGATCGTTCGCAAAGCTTGCTAACACGCTAATTATCCTTGCAGAATGTAATTTTTTTAACACTGAACCGAGTCTTCTCTTTATTGTTGGTGATAGTAACCTATCAGTCAGGTTCCTCCATATTTATACTGAGGCCAGATTTTCTACAAATTTTCTTGTTGGTCTTTTTACCGATTTGTTGTCAAACGATGCGCTTTATGCTATTGTTGTGCATTGTTCTGTTGGAAAACGTTTGGATAAAGGATGTTGTTGTTTTGCTTGGATTTTAGGTGATTCAACGGCTCATCTCGCAAACGTTATCTGGTTTTGGTACTTCACAGGTTTTATTGATTTTTATTTCGTTATCGGTATTGGTAAGAAATTCTTTTGCCGAGAAAAAACGAGACCTCGCGTAAGCTCTTGAATAACGAGTTCGTAGTTTGAAAAATGAAATCGGAATGAAATTTAACAACGGGGAGTGGATACGTTTTCTGTCTACCACGGGCGTAGATTGCTCTTGTCGGAGAGATGACTCGCATCGCTACTGAACTCCATTCGAATTTTTCCTTTCGCAGTCTCAACAAATTTTGTGACCGTCGCTTGTCCTACGTATTTGAAGTCGCCTGCCCAGATTTCATGAATAGCACCTATTGGGGCTCCATGACTTACTAGTAAGATATCACCTAGAGTAGAAACAACTAGATATCAGACGAATATAGGTGGGAAAACTGTAAATACCATCATATTTATCCGTGATGCGATTCAAAGTAGTTTTTACGCGAGGTATGCAAGCATCATCTCCGTACCTCTCCTTAGGCAAAGTGTGCTGAAAGAAGAACGAAATTTCAACAAACCATAAAATTCAATTCCAAAAGTAAGGCGTACTTTTGAGAAGACCGAGATGTAATCAGTGTCTACTAAAGGGAATTTTTCTTTCAACTTTTCAGGTTCCCAAAAACCTGGTGGGTTTTCGCACATATACAGACACTCGCACAAACCGGGCTCTGGCTGTAAAGGAAAAGATTGAATCACATAAGGTAAATTCTCCTTTTCTCTATCTGCGTCATTCCGACTTACCTTTATTGACAGTTCTTTGTCTCCAATTATGATTGTAGCCGTTTCAATAGTTCGATCATATGGAGAAGCAAAAACATGGCTCAAGTTAATTTTGGCGAATCTGGAATTCTAAAGTTTAGTAATTTTCAACTAGATATGATATGATAAGTGGATGTTACGCAAAAATTGACTGGTATAAATGAAAAGAACTGCGGAGAAATGAGATAATAACATTACAAAAAAAGAAATGAAAGTAAAAGGAAATTGAAATGTTTAGAAAAATTGATCGATATGTGCAAACTTTTGAACTGTGAAGAAGAGAAAGTGACACGCTATAACGAGTATAAAAGGAATTGAACGTGCAATTTTGAAATGAAGCAGATATACATTGAAAAAATGCTTGAGGGGCAACTCACATTTCAAAAATTTGAATGTTAATCCATTTAATACTGCATACTTAGTCGGATTTGATAAATCATCTAGTAAAAAGAAAGAAAGAAAAACTGAAACGAAAGTGTTCCAATTTCATGGAAGAAGAAAGAGCCTAAAAGTAAAGGCGAGATTATGAGAAGCACCAACAAAAAGAATAATTAAAGATAAAGAATCCCTGACAAACAAGAGAAACAAATATGCGTCAAGTATTACTTCATAAGCAACAGTCGAACTATAAGGTACATTGCAAAACATGTGCAGACAAAAAAGTGATCAAATGGTGGAAAAAAAA